AAAACCCAGAAAAAAAATATTAATAGTACACTTTCCTGAATGGCACAGCTTAAGGAAATATAGTCATAAATGGGGCCATGTAGAAAACAGTAAATAAATTTGATGCTTTACCACCATATATACAGAAAAGGCAAAATGAGAATCAAAGATAATATACATGATTATTTTAAAAAAAACTACAATGACTTATTTCTATTCTATGTCATTCATATAAGACAACAAAGGAAAATTAAGCAATATTTTTAGCTTCTAAGAGAATACAAAGTAACTGATCTGAGTTTTTCTAAACAAATTGACTAGAAAACCCAGTATTTGGCTATATAAACTCAACCTAGGTCATACTGATAAATGAAGTGAAAATGGAGTTCGTTCAGACATTAGAATTATACCTTAAAAGTCTGAAGAAAACACTTCATTAACTCAACAATACATATTCTCTGCACTTTTGTAGAATGCTATCATATCATTAGTTCTTTAAAAGGATATTTAGAGATACAGTAATAAAGTTTAAAAATATTCTATTCACCTTTTATTTATTTCATAGGTCACTATTATATCATCTAATGCAGCTAAACAGACTAATGTCTGTATTCAATGCTGGCAACAGGCTTGCTTCTTTGGGCAAATGGTCAGTTTCCCTTTGGAAGAGACAGAACATACCTTCTACAGGGTGGCCCCATGCTACATAGCCTGTAGGCATGTTCTCCAAAGTAACAAAATCTTCTCACATACCCTGCAAGATTCTGTTTTGATCTGTTTTGATGGCTACATAAGAAATAGAGATCAATGTCTGACAGAAGACATTACCATTGGTCTTTAAAAAGTAGAAAACATGGTTAATAAAATCAATGATGTCTTCTCGATTTTTAGAAATTGTCCACCTTAAAGGTTAGGAGATATACAATCTAATTATAAGCAAAACTTCTAAAACAAGGCATTGTGTAATAATCTTTCTGAGATTGGGAGCTAATTACAACTATGTCCTATTCAAATCGGTGAAGAAAATCCACTTGGCTACTTTAAAAAAAAAAAAGTCTATATAAGCATTAGGCTTACATAGCTACACTGATTGTTACATTTCAGAACTTACTTGTTCAAGTTTCAGATATTAACCTGTGATTTTAATAGTGCAACAGCTTCCCCTCGCCTTTAACCATTGTAGAATTTCTTATGGAAAGGTAATGAAATGAAACTCTCAGTCTCAGAGACTGAGATTCAAGACTCCTTTTAAATTGGGAATAGGTTAAATCATTTGCTGGTTATTTATTTTTTGATACAACCAGAAAATAAAATGCTGGATCAGGACAGGCTGTGACTGTCTCGGGGGTCGCCATAACATTCCGTAGAGGGGGCTAGTTTTATATCGTACAGCATAAAGCATACTAAGTGCTAAATTGGAGTCTTGGTCATGCATTTGTGTCTGCAATATTTTGAGTTGTATCTGGTCTCATGATTCTAGTAGAACCATTTCCTAAAAAACCACTCCTCGGTTCTTGTCCTGTCAGAACTGTCTCTGATGGTCATGGCCATCCATTTTCCTACCAGCTGTGATAATGTCTGTGAAAGGTGGACATTCTGAGTATGTACTGTGTGTGGCAGAAAATCGTGAGTCAGTGGAGTTGAGGATTGTGAGCATTTTAGTGTTACTAGGGAAAACCTGACACGTGTGAGGCCGGAACGTCACTAGAATAAGTTCAGAGAGAAACAACATGTGATTCTTTGGGGTACGTGAACACAGTGTATGACTCTTCAGGGATGGGGTGCATATGTTAAGAATTGAAATGTCTCTGTACTCTGCTCCTCAACCAATAAAATTGCAGTTGTGAATTGTAAAATATAAAATAAAAAAAATAAATTGGGAATAGTGGGAAGCCTTTAATCAGGGCACCCAGGAGGCAGAAGCAGGCAGTTCAGAGTTCAAGGTCAGCCTGATCTGCATAGAATTCCAAGACAGCCAGGACTACATAGATGGACCCAGGCTCAAATAAGATTCTCCCCCACACACACACACTTGTGGAAACATACACAAAAGGGGGGAGGGAGGCAGGGAGGGAGGGAGAGAGAGAAGAAGGTAGGAAGGAAAGAAGGAAGGATGGAAGAGAAGAAAAGAAGGAGTTATTTTCCCATTATACAACCAATATCAAAATCTTGAAGATGGTGACAATGACATTTGCTGGAACATAAAAGCAATTAATATTCAGGATTTACCACTTGACCCTTCTCATATCAACTAGATTTTATTATCCTCACTTCAAATTGTCCACATAGGATAAGACTTATCCAAAGTCATCAATGCATTTGCAATCATTATTTCATCCAATATTCAATATTTAGATACTTATTAATCAACAAACACTGCAAACTATAAACTCTCAAAACTTGCTAATCTAATACTACCTTTTGTGTCAGGCCTGGAAGTTTTGCTACATAGGAGCCGGAAGGAGGTAGGGCACAAGATCAGGTCGGGGTTGATAGGCGTGGAGGGAGAGTAAAGGGAGAGATGACTACAGCTGTGGGTCACGGGGTGGGGGCGATGTGGACACGTAGTGCTGTGAAAACTACCTGGAATCTACATGGCTGAACCTGGTGAACACTGGGACACCACCACAGTCACAAAAGCTTCCACTGAGATTCTACCCTGCCTCACAGAGGTGCTGGGGTAAAGGTGGCACAGAACCTGTGGGAGGGGCCAAGCAAATGGCTGGTCCAATTTGAGGGTCATGCCACAAGAGGGAGTCCATGCCCAATGTAGCCTAGATAGCCAGGAACCAGGGCCTGGGTAGCCCAGAAACCCAGGGTAGAACCAAACATGAGTAGGGGAGGGGGGAAAGGAAGAGAGGGAGAGAGGGAGAGAGAGAGGGAGGACTATGTAGAGAGATCACCACCTCAAAGGAAAAAAACAAAACAAAACAAAAAAGAAAAAAACCAAAAACCAAAAAACTAAACAAGATACAAGAAGAACAAAACAAGTATTTTTGAGGGAGTTTAGATAACAAAGAGGTAAAAGTGTTACACAAAGCACCATTTTGAAAGCCTGAAGATACATATTTTTCTGGTAACCTATTTCAAGTTAGTTTAAAAGAGCCATAATGATAACAAGAAGAATTCACATTTTCACAAGGAAATTTTACTGAACATTCTGCCATTATCATGTGATTCTGCAAGAATTTCTGTAGTCAGTAAAAATCAATATGAAAATATACCCCAGAGCCATGCTCCAGAGAATTCTACATTTAACCTAAATGTCAAATTAAAAAATAAGCTAATTACATTATAAGAGTTATTGCCTAAAGGGTAAAAAGAAATCCTAATTTCACACCTTAAATACTATAATAGCATTTAATAGCTGCATTGGCCTGCCAACTATCAAAACCCACTTATACGACTTGATCTTTCTACCTTGCACTTTTAAATTAAAATAAATTAATATCCTAATATTATAATAATGACAGGCATTAATTAAAAATATTTAGTTAACAGAAGTATTCACTGTGCAGCAAGTTGCAATAATAGCTCATTTTCAAAACAAAATTATCATTCAATAATGAGATATTTCAATCTCTGAACTATTTAAGGACAGAATAAACTATACAACAATACTATCTTCAAATTAAAACATCTTTTTACTGTAATTAATTAAAAACCTGAATGTGATTATAAAATTTATAAACAAATTGTACACAGATAAGAAAGAAAGAATTGACTTTCCTTTGTAATATTTTCCATTTGTTTTTACTGCACTTGTACTTTAAGCACATTGTATCATGGCCATAGATTTTACATATACTATACTCCGCAGTTATATGCCAAACCACAGATAATTACTTTCCTTTTATATTTGTCTTTACTGATATATTGATCAGCCAAGATATATCCAAATACGGACTTTATCTGTCATTACTATGTCCATTTCAAGCTTCACGTTATACTTTTATACCAAAAGGAGGATTTGGAGAATTGCATCACTTAAAGGAAATGTGTATACCATCAAAGTATAATAAGAAGTATAAGCCCTCTGCAACAACATGGGGACACAACCTTTTGTACCATCAGTGACAACTGACCACTGATAACTTATACAAAGTCTAACTACTATAAAGTAAGGATATCAAATATTTAAATTACCATATCACTTGAGGAATTCATAAACAGATTGTAATAATCATATAATTCACCACATTCCAACCAGAGCCTCTTCTATACAGGGCCCTAATGTAACAGCTAACAGCTAACAGCATGCCTGTAATCGGAAGAAATAAATAATGCAGTTCCAATGAAGGAAATGGAATACTTCCAGAGAAAGCTCCGTATGCAAATGAGTTACTAAGGGCAGTGCTCATGTGCACGTTCCAAAGTGCGGGTGTACACTATTAGAACTCACTAATCAGATGTATCTCAGTTAAAGACTTCTTCATTTACCTGACTGCTACTTATAATGTTTAAATATACTAGTAATGAATTTGCAGGGTTTTTGCTATAAGGAAAATAAGAACTTAAATGTTTTTGGTTCATTATACAAATTTTCAAATGTTATTGGAAATATTTAATCTTTCCTTTTCTTTGGTTTCATGAAATAAAGTACAGAATTCATAAACATTAACTTAAACTAGAATCTAAGTCAGGATGAAACCATTAACAAGACAAAACCTGTACATAAGAACTTAGGATGTTCTGTTTATACTCTTTTTTTGTTTTGTTTTGTTTTTGTTTTTAGAGACAGGGTTCCTCTGTGTAGCTTTGGAGCCTGACTTGGAACTACATCTGTAGACCAGGCTGGCCTCAAACTCACAGAGATTCACCTGCCTCTGCCTCCTGAATGCTGGAATTATAGACTGTTTTTGTTATTTTTTAAAATTGCAGACTTTCAGAAATCACACCGTCCTTTATACATATGATAAAGACATGGATGTAAATTCTTGCATTTCTAAGACCATAACTCCATAAAAGGTGTGTCTTCCATGTTACTTGTACAACTGTGTGTGCATGTAATCATCACTTACGTATACGAATTAAAGGTTCCTTCAGAGTCTATGGTAGAATTTGTCCTTTTTCCATTTTGACTTGGATCTCCTAAAGACAAAAATAAAAACACTGAAATAACAGAAACTGCAAAAGTGAGTATTTCATTTAAAAAGCACTGTGTGACAGTTCTATGTAAAGGCATACTAAAAAAAAAATCAAAACAACTGAAATATATTATTACCTTTTCTATATCCCAGTTATCTTGTGTACTCTGAGGCTTTTAGGGAATAGTTCATGTGGATGTGTCAACATATAAACCAAGACCCAAACTCCTAATTTGGGTCACTGCCAAAGTAACTGTAACAGGAAAAGTCAACTACGATGCAATTTTTTTCTATGAATCACAGAAACACGGAAGCTTATAGACCATTAAATTACATGCTAATATTTATAAACAAAGGCAATCTTTGGTTAGAGACTAGATTACCCTTTCTGACCACTATTATAGCCAAAATGGACATAAGCATAGAATAAAGCTAAAAGTCCATCAGTCTCCTATGTAGACAGTAAAATTAACAGATAAGGGATATGGTGACTAAGAATGCACTTTAGGAACATTCTCGTGTATCTCAACATCTCTTACAAAATATGCTGGTAGCTGTTAATGTTATTGTCTGAAGTGTAAAAACCTCAGAAATATGAAACATAGAATGAAATTTCATCAAAAGATATTAGTATTTTGTGGTGGTTTGAAAGGAAATGGCCCCAAAGGGAGTTGCACTATTAGGAGGTGTAGCCTTGTTGGAGGAAGTGTGTCATTGTGGGGTGGGCTTTGAGTTCTCCTACACTCAAGACACTGCCCAGTGTCACTGTCCATTTTCTGCTGCCAGCAAGATGTAGGACTCTCTGCTGTGGTAGACTATTGTGTAAGGTGTGTGACTTGTGTTTACTCTGTATTTGTTTAACTCTGTGAAGCTGTGATTCTTTGCCTGTCTAAAACATCTGATGGTCTCATAAAGAGCTGAATGGCCAATAGTGAGGCAGGAGCAAGGATTGGCTGCACTGGCAGGAGAGAAAATAAGGAGAAACAAGGAAAAGGAGGAACAAGAGACTAAGGAGAGTAGAATATCAGGGGCCAATCATGTAGTCATCCAGCCAGACAAAGAGTAAGAAGAAAAGAAAAGGTATACAGGAATAAAGAAAGAAAAAAATCCCCAAGACCAAAGATAGGTGGGATAATTTTGGTCGGGATAATTTAGGTTAAGTAAAGGAGGCAAGAAACAAAAAAGCTAAGGTCAGGTATTCATAACTAAGAATAAGCCTCTATGCATTTATCTGGGTGCTGGTTGGTGGGCCCCTTGAAAAGCCAAAGAGTAAAACAACACACAACACTCAGCTCCTCCAGCACCACGTCTGCCTGCACACCACCATGTCCCCATTCATGATGACAAAGGATGGAATCTCTGAACCTATAAGCAAGCTCCAACTAATGCTTTCTCCTGCAAGAGTGGCCATGATCAAGGAGTCTCTTCACAGCAATAAAACACTGACTAAGGCATGTTTCCTATAATGTTTTTTCACTTAAAAAAAAGACTATTTGTGAAATCAAATTTAGAATTAATCAATATGTATGGGCTTATATAATATAAAAGAAAATAATATTTTAAAAATATTTTAAAAGCTTATCAATACCTCAAGGTAAAAAATTCTTATAGTTATAAATTTGATAGTTTACTACATTAAATATGTATTTTAAAATATAGTTTTTATGAAGCAGTATGCTACTAAATATATCATTTCTTCCTTAAAGCAAATTATGAACTGTATATAATTAAATTTCGCACTTCTAATCTCTACAATGTAACTTGCAGTAATATTTTATATTTAAAAATTTAATAATCATTTATTCAATTATGACTTATAATTCTGACTTGTAATGAAATATTTAAGGTTTTACTGGGGATTGTCACAGTAGATCTGGTCACATCAAATAGTAATTGTAAAGAATTCAGTTTAAAACTGAGATTAATTTAAATTTTGTATAAAATACTAAGATATTTTGATTGCATAATTATGCCACTCATTAAATGGCTACTGCAAATGGAAATGAAATTTGTATGACAGCCTTGTATTGTGTCACAGAGGAACACTGTTCTACCTAAGACTCTGCAGGTATGACCAGTGTTCAAATATTCAGAAAAGGACTCTGTTCCCATGCTGAACTTTTTAAAATGATTCTTTTTCAAAGTATCCTTCCAAGGTGTTTCTGATCACTTGGCTGTTTTGGTTGGTTGTTTAAAACTTAAAATAGATTTCAGCATTCAAAAAGGGCAACACATTATTTTTTAAAAATTCAAAACTTAAATGTTTAAAATTACTATAGCTGTGTGCATGCTAATTCCTCGACTACTTAGATAAGACTACACATAGAACATTTTATTTTCGTTAAAAAAAATAACAGTATCACCATGAACTGAAAACACAGAAGAAACAGCATCACAGCTCATTAAAGAGAAATTTCGTGTAACACATGCTCTTCAATAGTGTGCAGACACTTCCTGTATGGCATTCCACAACCAGTATAGAATAGGTATTATGATATACACTGAAGCAGTCTTCCTTCTTAAAACTAAAGGTTATGACCATGAAAATATATGAAATATTACCTATAGAATTCTTGTTCATTTAAGATGGACTTGTGGTGGGGTTTTGCTTGTTTGCTTTCTATTTTGAGTGTCTCACTGTTGAGCTCTGGTGGCCAGGGGCTGGCTATGCTGGTGGCAACGCCTTCCTCTGATGGGTCTCAAAGCCCACAGCGCCTCACCTGGCTCTTTTTTTCTATTTGTAAATAGCCATGTTTTATCATAATATCTTATAGTCTGTAACCATGACCAGTGAAAATGCCATAGCAACTGTAATTTTTAAGGTGTAAAAGAATGTAATGTAACAGGGAAACAAAATGCTGTTTTTCTTACTCAAAAAACATTCCAAATACAGAGTTGAATTGCTTCACTAGCAATATTTGTAAAAAGATTTCAGAGTTTGTTATATGGGGGAAGTGTAATGAAGTTTTAAAGTAGGAAAAACTGCTTTACTTTTTCAATATTATAGTTGAAAAATTATAGCAAATGTTTATGAAAACATCTGTTCCTTACAGTTATAGATTCTTAAATTTAGTATAGATGTTTTAGACTCTTATTTTGGAAGAAACCTGACTTTTGAAAGGTTTACAAAACAAACAAACAAACCACAGAGTTTATAATTCTAGAAAATTATACAGGTAATATGCTATGTCCTGTAGGAAATATTTTTATTTGGAGGGGCTTAGAACTGGTAACCAGAAGAAATCATAGACAATAGAAAGCTCATCCCACATTTAAACTGAGGCATGCTGAAAGAACATCTACAGAATAAGAAAACACCAAATGAAAACTCCAAACAAAAGTACTTTATTGATGATTCTAATTCCCTTTTAAATGTAGTAGAGTAAGTACTAATTTTGTAAGGGAAGGAAATAACTGTAATGACAATACAATCTTAGAACCTATGTGTAGTATTCCCCCAAAAAACAACAGAGGGTGCAAGAGAGTTTTATACGAAATTTTTAGTTGTTATTCTAATTTGGGAACCAAGTTGTCAGATAACCAGCAATAAGTGAAACAAGAATGTACACACTGATTTCCACTCACACAAATAAGGCAGACAGAAACACACACACACACACACATACACACACACACACACACACACACACACACAATTCGACATAGAGAAAGTGTTCATACAACACAAACCCTGAACTGTGTTTTTAGATTAACATATTTCCTAGTTTCAAAAGTAATTTAACTAAAAATACACCATTTTTAAGAATTCAATTCTGATTTTAAAGGTATTTTAAAACCCGATGTACAAAGTGATCTGAATATTTTAACTCAGTTTGTCTATGAATTATATACAACCATACAGTATACTCATTCAATATTATATATAATAATTTACAAAATATAATAATTTATATATAGATGAAATTTGACAAATTCTTGTGGGTACAAATGTTTGAAAAATACATACTATTTTTTTTTAATAATTCAGAAGTAACTTTGTGAAATGAGTTCTCAAGAAAATTGAAATAGTTTGGTTCCTGTCTTGTCACCAAATGAAGCTTTCAGTGCTATGATTGGGTTACGTATAACTGAGTTGTTGGCCAAAGAGATGCCATGGGAATCCCCAAACAACCAGGCTGTTGCCAAGGCAATGGGTTGCTCTCCACAAACTGGGAGACTACCAGTTTAGCAGAGACTACCCTGCTGAAGACAACACCTGTACAACTCTCTGAACATGCTAGTCAGGGCCTAAATATAGGTTTCACCTCTGTATTCTAGCATATTTGGTACAGAAAGACATTCTATGTATAGTAAATGAGAACTATAACCACCAAGTGAGCCAGAAACCCTTTGGTCGACAATGGGATCCTGCCTGTAAGATAAAATGGTGGCACAAAGCTTGTGGGAGTAACCAATTAATATGATTTGATTTAAGGCGCACACCATGAGATAGCAACCATACAAAACACTATTTAGGTGACCAAGAACCAGGGTCCAAGGGAAAAACCAAATAGTACTGTCCAAAAAATATATATATACTCCTAAAAATATTATGCTATGCTCATATGACCAGTGCCTTTGTTAGCTATCATCAGAGAAATTTCCTCCTGCAGCAGATGGGAACAAATCCAGAGACCACAGACAGACGGTACAGGGCGAGAGGCCTTGGAACACACAGCCCTAAATTGATGTCTCCAACAAGTCCCTCCCCTTAGGACTCTCAGGTTTCCCCTGAGGAAATCTCTCAGCACAGAAGGTAGAAGAAGCCTCTGAAGAAGGGATGGAGGACACCAAGAAAACAAGGATCTCTAAAACAACATGAGCAAAGCTCATAAGGAAGTCACAGAAGCTGAGGCAGCATGCCCAGGGCCTGCACTGGTCTGCACCCTGCACCAAGTCCTTTGCATATATACTATGGCTCCCAGATCAGTGTTTTGATTCCTGAGTGCGTGATCCAGTGGGAATCCGGTTTTGTGTGCCTTCTCTTGGGGCTCTTGTCCTTCT